ATGAGTTAGCGTCATGCCTCACGAAGTGCCGACTGCGAAACACGTCAGTGCGAGCAAGATAATAAGTCTCAATCGTTACGCCTCCCACCCCCCCACACACACGCTTTATTTATTTCTTATGTCATAAGACGCGGCCGAGCAGTTCATTTGACCACCCAAGTTTATTGCTCGGTCTAATTCACGACTAAATGCCAAAAGAAAATGTGTCTCGTGGCATGTGTGAATTTCCGATCGCTGTACGGAAGGGCACTCAGTCACTTGTCATTTGTAGGGTAACCACTTTTCCTCTTAAATGCATCATTTTCAGTGTGTAACGTGTAATCGTGGCTGCATGTGAAGCAATATGTCGGCAGGAAAAAAAATGTAGGCTATAGAGTGGGTTAGAAAGCAAATTTAGAGCATAGTTACACTCATATCACTCTGGGATAGCACCTCATCGAATAAGCTTTGGTATTTTAGAAGCAGCTTATTTTTCTTATCAAACTATAGTAAATAAATGTAATGAATGCTTAGCACAAGGGAAGCTAGAAGTGCTGTTTTATTGAGATGATCATGAGAATATGTAGGCCTCTAAATGGCAGGCCTAGGACAACAACATTCAAAGAATCGCCAAGTCACGTTGCCGGACAACTTGGTTTAGATTCATAATTCGTATCATGTATCCACCACAACAGGGATAAATAAGAGAGAGACACACACATGACGCTAACTTGCAATTAGTGATTTCATTGCAGTCACACTTGCGATTTATGCAATAACAGTACATTCAAAACGGTATTATTTTCCAATAAAATTGTTGAGGGTCCTACAGGGGAAAGCTGCACTATACAGCTTGAATTTGCTTGAAGACACTCACGTGGTGGCAGTACCACTAAAACCAGCATACATACATTTGTTCACTATATACCTAAATACACTATTTCAGTGCAACTGAGAAAATAGAACATACTGAATAACACACACAAACACATAGTATCTTGAACAAAATATTGATCAAATGCATTTGCACATTAGAAACAGTGGTAGTGATAACACTAAAAAAAGCACTAAAATAAACATGGTTGATATACAACGGTATTATATGTACATTGTTCATTGAAACACTTCAGCGTCAATAGAAGAAGAACAATCTAAAAATGCAAGAACTGTTTCGTTTTATTTATGCCTTCATTCAGATTTGTAAAACTGCACTCCGATTTCTTTGCACGTCTAATTAGTTGCAGTGTTTTTCCTTTCTATTATTTATTTAGTAATGATGGTAGGCTAAGCCTCAGTGACTGCATGAGATAATTTGTGCGCTTGTATGGTACGGACCACCTGTCTTGGCTACGAGTGCATGAGGGACTTTTTTCTCATTAAAAATGATTTGATAGTGATGTAGGACAAAATTGATGGAAAAATTTGTGTTTGTGAGGAACAGTCACACGTATTATATTACGTTTTGAAAATTTGGTACAGTGGGATGAAAATACGGTGCATTCACTATTTGTTGAAGCACACGATTTAGAACTTGAAATGCGTGAATATTACCTTTTGTGGTAGTCATGATTCAGCAGCGTTCAGCTACATGCGACGAATTACAGGCAATGAATTGTCAAAATTACTTTTCTTGCACCATTCCAAAGACAGGCTTACGACGACAGCTCACGAATTGCCAAAATATCTTTTTCTCTTAGTGCACTGCATGAATCGAGTTTCTCTTTGACTTTCCTTTTTCCAGAAGGGTGTGCTACATCACGCTCAAGGAGCATAGCATTGCATTGGCACGTGCAGAGGAATGGCACCAACAACAAAGTTTCATTGCTGCTTCCTGATGTGCCATTCATACAACCTTTCTTATGCAGAAGGTTCACTATGACCATCAGGTTTGTGTGCCTGAAAACTGTTGCCTTTAGGCATTAGACTGGCCACAACAGCTGATTGCAGTCATGCTACAGTTTTTCTTTGTCTTCTCATCTTTCCAACCATCCTCACAATGTTGTGCAACTCAGTTCACTGCACTGCTAAGAAAAAATTCACGGTGGATCAATTCATTTGGCTTGGAAACGAGGTTGGAGGTAGACAAAGAGATGCCTGTAATGCTACTGAACTTCAACTCAGCTTTACGCCAATTCATTCTTCAGTTTTTTCTGGCCTAAAGGGTCACTTTATACAGTAGATATGCTGGAAGGAAATGATGACTGTTGCTCTTCCTCTCTTGTTGACAGGCAGTACCGCTACATTGGCTACAGACAGCTTGCACACTGGCTTTGGGGACGCCTGGGCAGATATCGTGGGAAGGTCCTCCCTGCTTGTGCTGTACACCAAATAAGAGAGAGATTTCCATTTGAAACGTTTACTGGTTTCCATTATGCACACAATTAATGAGCCTTTTCAATAAAAAAATGGTAGAGAAGTTTAATGACTTGAATTTTGTAAAGGTCTACTGCAAATGAAAGGATTTCAAAAAGTAACATGCCTAGGAAACCACGATTATTCAATATGAAAATTGCATCACTTCACTTTATTTCTTTGTTTTTTGTATACACCTTTATATTGTTTTTAATGTGCTGATACTGCCTATGAAGCACATGTTTGAACAATAAATATATTTGTGCACTCTGTCCACACCTGTTCCTTAGACAGATTGAGTCCCTCTAGTTTTCTTTTTTCGGCTGACTGAGCAACAATATCAGATTAATAAATGTGCAGCTTCATGTATTATCACGACGGAGAGAAATGTAAGGACAAAATCATGCTCTTGCTGTGCAATAGCACCAGCAGGAATGTGATTCTAGTGCTATAGTGATGCCGGCTAGATTCACCTAGCAGTAGTCGAGGCATGCCATAATTTGAATGGATCGAAAGCCATGCTTTCTGCTGTTCTCATGTCTATTGCCGTATACCAATTTGTATATAGAAGTGAAGAGAGCAACAAATCATTATAAAAATGTTCTGCTCCAGACAAACTGCCAAGTAACGTCAGTGTTTCTTACGGCACTGTAGATGAACGTGTCACTCCCTTATAAATTTTATGAAGTAAATGACTGACACTACTACAGCAATGTAATGGAGTATGCCCATCTATGCTAGAGTGTGGTGCTTCCCGTGCCAGTGGCAAACCTAGATCTTCTTGCTGCCACAAGTTCATGTTTGGATAGCCTTGGAAAAGAATGGCTCATTGGTGGTGGAGCAGTTGATTGGTTTGCAGCAAAAGCTGTGTTAAATGATGGCCACTGTTCGCAGCAACGTGCAGTCTCCTTCAATAGCAGGTCAACATATTCTGGAATTGAATAGTGTTGCATGTAATATCACCCTCTTGTAATTTCTTATATATAGCAGGCACTATCCAGACATGCAGGACATAGTACTGAGGAGGTACAGCGAAGCCTCCTTTATTGATGACCATACACACCATGGTCATCAGGAGTATTTTGTCTTGGAGGAGGGGAGAAGCAAGCGCTTGAGTAGCTTGGGGGGGGGGGGGGGTAATATTACCCTCTTGTGTAATTTCATATATATAGCAGGCACTATCCAGACATGCATGACATAGTACTGAGGAGGTACAGCAAAGCCTCCTTTATTGATGACCATACACACCATAGTCATCAGCAGTATTTTGTCTTGGAGGAGGGGAGAAGCAAGCGCTTGAGTAGCTTGGGGGGGGGGGGGGGGTAAGTGGAGGTATGGTTTGAGGGCGACAAGCGCCTCTTTTGCACTGCTCCTGCCGACGCGCACAATATATATCGATTGTGCACACACAACATCTGCATAGGTATAAAGGTGTCTAAACAAAACGTTTCCACCTTTGTTTCATCACAAAAGATTTATTCGATTCCTGTTCCAGAACAAAAAAAGCTTGGCAAGGGTCATGATATTTGTATAAAAAAGTTAAATTGAAATAACAATAAATATACTGGATCTGTTGTATAGTTGTCCTGACAGGAATAGAGAAATTTTTTGCCACATTCTTACGAGGAGCACAAGTAACAGCACCATGATTCCTACAAGTCGGCACAAACCAGTGTCCACATGTCGTAGCAGGCTTTCTTATTAAAACTGAATAAAGAATTTTGTTAGCAGGCTTGATGCTTTGCATCAAGGGAGTAGGCATGGCCTCAGGAGTAGCCCATTATCGAGCATACTCTTATTGCAAGACCACTGTTGATATAAAACAAATTACTGCACTGACAATCCGCTCTCCATGCTAGCATGTGCCACAGGCACTTGAAAGCCCACTTCAGTTACTAGAAACATTCGATTGCCACTGCTCTTCGAACAATTTGAACAAGTTATTACATAAAATACCTGCCTCAGATATGCACTAGTACTGTAATCTAAATAAGCATTGTTGCCCGTGGTGCATGACCTCGGTTGTTCTGGATTAGCAAATTTCTACGTAGACCGAAAAATGATGAAAAAATTCGGGTTTCACTCCGGAACAAAATAACGCACATTTCAGTTAGCTTTTCATATCGAGGAAAAATACATTTCTTTCTTTTTCCTTCTAATACAGTGAGAACATTTTTATTGCTGAATTGTATGCTGTACAAATCTTGAAGCCTGTGCTGTAAAATACTAATTTATTAGCTTGATTCATAGGTCGGTGAACCCACTCACATGTGCACACTTAGACTCGGATTGAGCCATAAGTATGTGTTCGAGTTTGAGTGACCCCAGTGGAAAAATGTTTCCGTGAATCTGAGTCCGAATGCATTGCTGTTGTGGTTGTCCAGTCCTAGGCTACATCATCCTATTAGATTGCAGCGCATCAGACGGGTGGGCCTCTGAGAACAGTCATGTCAGATATAAGTATAACAAGGCACACTGCTTTTAAATTAGAAATCATATAGGAGCACTGAGACTGAAAGTCATGCAGTTGAATGAAAGTACCTAGTTGTGCACAATTTCATTATAGGCACTATTGCTCATAGTCGACTTATTTCAAATTTTTTATGCATGCCCAAACTACCTCCTGTCTGTTTCAAGTGACCTTAGATTTTCTTGAAGGGCCAGGTAGACTACTTATCATATGTAGGTTGGGCTTTCACGGGGCAAGCTACAGCCGTGCCTTTCCTTGCTTTTGGGTGCTTAATTTTCCAGCACGATTGCCCTTTTGTTGTCACTGCTTGTCTGTTGCTTGAATATTCATTAAAGTGGAGAACTGCCAGTTGCGTCCTGCATGAAAAAATAATTACATCACCTCTTCAAATTCAGTTTTTTCTGATATTATTCACTACTCACCTTGCACGCATTTCATCAGATGAGAAGCATACAGACATTGGTGCGAAACCTATCAGCACACTATGAAAGGCCTCCAAGCTAAAGGTGTGTGTAGAAGGAGCCAGTTGCCGAATGTCTTTCAGGAGACGAGGTGCCATAACAACATCGGCAAACTTCTTGTGTGCAGGGGTGCCTGTGTTGATAAAAGCAACTTTCCGGATAAGCATTTTTTAAATAGTGGTGACCGTTAGTATAATTTCACTTTTTTAGATAATTATAGCACCCATAATTGTTACTAAGATGGGTTAACAAAGGGTTTTGTAGTAAAGATGGACAACTCGCTGAATGCATGCAATCCAGCCCCGGAAAAGCTTGCCATTTAAAAGCGCACCATCACCTGTACTTCATACACAAGAGCATTAATGCAACTTAGAAAGCAAATTAAGCTGAGTATAAATTGGCAAATAGCTGCAGTACTAACCAGGAACTAGCCATTGCCTCTCTCCCAGGTCACTGTGGGCACAATGCGTGTACAGACCGGCATGCCTTAAGTGTATATTAGCAGCATGCCGCTCCATGCTCTTCCACATGTCTGTAAGCAGCTCTGGATTGCCATCACTCATGGCTGCACACCAATGCAAATGATTGATAGCTGGCTGAATCCACAGCTGGAGTACACTGCATCCTGATTTCTTTGTATGGACGGCCAGCTTCTTTTTGATGCCTGGGACACGTGTGATAAATTAATTCATAGTAGGTTAATGTCATGCATGATACAGAATGCTTAGCAAGGGAACTTCTATGTTTAGCCGAGATAAAAAGGAACTTTCGACATGCTTATCCCATCAGCCTTCTAGATAACTTGAACAACGTTTGAGGTGGATCCATTATTTTATATAGAACCTCTATAGAGCACTGCTCTAGTCCTGACTCAAGACTAACAGCTAGTACTTGAAACGCAAATGAAAAATGCTCCACTCTCTTAACACCTTTTCAACCTCGGTACTTTCTTTCTCTGCGGCATTATTTGCTACATTGGTGTTTTTTTTCTTCTGCTTCTCTTTGTTGATCTATTTGCTCCAAAAAATTTAGTGTGCGAATGCGCTGCATTTCGCAAATCATCATAAAGAAAGGTATCCCATCTGTAATGCGCATAAATCAGGCTGAGATATTTTCAGTGGATGTTAGCTTTTGAGATGTGCCAAGCATCATAGAAGTGTGGGATGGTGGGCTCTTGTGTCCTCATATACTTCGTAACTTGCACATGCCGGTCTGTGGTCACCGATGTCACTATAAGCCCTTGTTTCTTCACCAGGTCTAGACACTTCACAAATGCATGTTTTTCCATAGAGGTGCTTGATTTCACATCTGCACACTTTTGCAGAAAGATAAAAACTGTTAGATAACACATCAACCACATTAGAGTAGCTATACGTTACCTCCCCGACTTGCACTTGCTCAAAGTGTAGAATTTTGTTGACCTGGGTGACATGAAGTGAATATGTCATAAATTTGGCAGAGAAACCAGGCGAGTCACAGCGTCCATCACCAGGCAGGTCGACACTGCAGTCGTGCAACTGGCGAAACAACTCGTCCTGTTGTTGATGCCAGATTTGGTTCAAAACAAAAATTGAGTTAACACTACATTAAATGCAGAACATTACTGAAATAGTGCTTGTGTTCAATGACTTTCAAGAACCTCTTTTAAAAACTATTTGTCCTTGAACACAAGGACAAAAACATTATGGTTCATAATGACAAAGATATTAATATGCTATCCAGAATTGAATAAACACAACTGTTTTCCAATTTTACTAATACACACTTTCTCATACCTTGTCAATCGCAGGAAGTAGATTAGATAAGCTCGCTGATAGTTAAAAAATGTCCTTGGCGTGAACACCTGCAGATTGATGTGTTCAAACATACGGAGCACTGTGGTGGGGCTGGTGCCGCTGAACAGTATCCCTGCCGACAATAGTACGTTGCCTGCTGGCTTGCCATTGATTAATGGCTGACTTTTCCATGACAGGACGTGATAGTTTGTACACACTGTTTGTACTTGTAGTAATGTGCCATACACCGAGCTTGCAGTTTTACAAGCGGCAAAGCATTTTCGGCATGTACTTAGCAGTTCCTTGAGTGAACTTTCAAAAACAATAAACTTCCTTTCATTTTGCGGAGGGACTTCTTCAGTGGTGTCATCATGTCTGAAACAACGAAAAAAAAAGTTTTGATCACATTGTCATACTTTTTGCTAATAAGTAGTGTTTTGAATACAGCAGGGCTAGAGAGAGGTAAAATATGTAAGGGCAGACCACTTCGTTGCACTTTCCTGTCAGCTATTTTTTTTTCTTGTAAGTATTGATAGCACAGATTTAGAAAGATAATTATTGTCACACTGCTTTTACATGAGCAGTGGCTTATGATACTGCATATTGAGAGAGTGTATTGGTGAATCAAGGACCACTCTTGCTTGTTTAATCTAAGTGGGTCATCAGTGGTGCAATTATATACAAATTCCAAATCCGGACGTAGGCGGTCTGTCGGTGACGTCAAAAAGTAGGCGGTCCGCAAAGGTCGCGAGGACGAGAGAAAGTGAACAGCCAATGTGGGAAATGAAGGCTTGCGTCATCATTTCGACGTCGACTTGGGGACCGTATAGCAAAGGAAAAAGTGTTTGTAACATGTTCACAAGTGTTTAACTATTATTGCACACTATTAAAATGTGTTGGCACTAGTTTTCTATTGTTTAATAAGGAATACGATACAATCCAAACGTATTCTTTCTGTTATTTTTCTAAACAACGCTAAATTTAGCGGGACGGTTGGTGGCGCTAGGTACAACTTTGCTTCAAGCAGTTACTGTTTTCAAAACTCCACTACTAAACGGCGCAACTTTCGAAGTCGTTGGCTCGGTCGAGCGCAGTCATGGCGGACGGCAACGGAACCGCTAGCCACCAGCAGCAGCGGCTCATCCGCGTTTCCGAGGGTCAGCGCGCGCTGGTGCTCGCCTTTATGAGTGTACATCCGCAGCTCGCGGCGAAAGCCATTGAGCTGCAGCATGGCGTCACGGTCGCCGACCGGCGGCGGCTGTGGCAAGAGCTCAGCGACGCGCTGAACCTTGAAGGCCCTGCGCAGATAAACGTGAATGAGTGGCAGGCTTGGTGAGCAGGCAGGTGCATGAGGCCCGCCGTGACGCCGCCGCCATCAAGGAGGCACAAACGTGAGTAACCGTCGAATGTGCGAGCGATTTGTTCTTTGACATTGGTGTATATTTCCAGGGGAACTGGAGGGGGTCGTCTGCCAGGCTTCCGTGGCCGCTTGCTGCAACTAACCGGGTTGGCACGCTTCGGTGGCGTCTTCGCTTCCCTCGAATATCAACAGGTAAGCACTCTGCCGCCGCAGTATCACGGGTTCCTGAGCGGTGCCATGAGAGAGTTTGCCCATTTTGTAAGGAGTGCCTTTAGGGGAACCTTGTTGAACAGTAAGATAGTGCAGAAAAAAGAATTCAAAAGCAGGTAGGTTTGTCAACTGAAATCTCACTTTGTAGCCCTTGCAGTAAAAGGCGCATTTATTTATCAAACAGACACGAAATGCCTGCGGGCAAGTGCATGCACTAAAATGGTAATACGTGATATCAATGACCACTGAATAGCTGTAGAACATTTCCGCAGATGTTTAGTATGTAAGGTTGTAAAATAGACAGAGTAACGAATACCCTCTTTCTTAAAGATTATGCCCACGACACTTTCCAGCAGGCGGATGTTCCCGCTCCTGCAGTGGAGGTCGAGGTGGAAGCCTCTGAAGCGGCTGCAGGTGACAGTGACACAGGGACACGTAAGCATCTGAGAACTAACTTAGTGTTTTATTGAATATAGGACGTATGTGCCCCCTGTTCGTGAACTTTTATTCTTTACTCCACAGAAGGCCCCCCCAAGTTACCTTGAAAGCGGCCCCGCTGCACCGGGTAAGTTATTGATCATCAAAGTGTTTTGAGAAAATAACCTCTCGTATGTTATTCGAATTGCCCAATTATCCACAACATGGCCATAGACTTAAAGCCTACCACAGCATGCAGTGACGAAAATGCTGCATGTTTTCAGTGTCTCAGCCTCCTGTGTGGCCTCGCCGTCGACAGAGGCCACGGCGCACCGACACCTTGTTGCGGGTGTCTTCACAGTGCGACCAGAGCCTGGAGCTGACTGAGAAGTTGCTTGATGTGAGTAGACCGTTTGTTTAAATTTTACGTAAAGGGTGTGAACATTTTTGATGCTCTGTTATGATGACTGAAACCAACTTGGGCTGTAAATAAGAAACATGCATTGTATTGAGGGCACGGTATCTGACATCTGCAATGATAAACTGCCGGGCAAAAGGTTGGTTAGCCCTGAAAAGGGCTGTTTGATGGTAAGAGATGCATTTGAGGAGATAAATGAAGAGTAGTTCCAGCAATTGTTTGTTGATCCAAACGAAGAGGGCATAGCTTGTACACGAAGCTTCACACTTTCAAAGGATGCCACCAGGCCAATGAATTTTCAACTGAGGGGAAATTGTTGTTCACGTTGCAATTCTCCGCAGCAGCAGCTTCGAGCCATGAGATGGTCGAGAGTTCTTCAGCAGCTCATGCAAACATTTCCACCATGATGATTCATTGCAGGCGGTGCGGAGGTTCAAAAGGTCAGCCATCCACATCACTTCTCTAGCGCGGCGTATGGCAGCAGCACAGGAGCAGACGGCCGCAGCACAGGAGCGGGCGGCCGCAGCACAGGAGCGGGTGGCCGCAGCAAAGGAGCGGGCGGCCGCAGCACAGGATCGGGCGGCAGCAGCACAGGAGTGGGCGGCGACAGCACAGGAGCGGGCGGCGGCAGCACAGGAGCGGGCGGCGGCAGCACAGGAGCGGGCGGAAGCGTTGCAGGAGAGCATCCTGCAAGCGGTCCAATCCTTGGACCGGGCCATGGCTGAGGGCCCTCTGCGGGAAAAGCCACATAGTTATTTTAAGTTTTACATCATGTTTTTAATGTTTTAAATGTTTATCATGCATTATTGGTTTGTTAGTTTTTATATGTTTACGTGTTGCAGTCAACGTACTATTTCATACGTTGTTTTTTAACATTTAATACATATTACTAGCTTTAAGTTAGCATTTACTTTGTACAAGAAGTACAGCATTTTTTTCCTCACATGTCTTTCATCTAGTTTGATGTTCGATATATGCGTTTCTCAATTTATGTTCGACCTACTCGTGAGGCAGCGTCTCCCCCCTCCCCCCACCATCTTAAAGGTGTCTAGTCATGCACACAAAGACCAAGAGCGTATAGTTGACATTTTTTGTGAATGTTTTTAGCACTGTGATATTTGTGTTGCCTCACTGTTTTCTAGCTCACTGCGCTTTTTATGCAGCATTACCACATAGTGTTGGACTGTGATATCTTTTAGCCTCACACTGTTTCGCAGCTCGCTGCATTCTTTATGAAGCATGTTTACCTGCCAAAAATTGCTTACACTGTGATATTGTCATTTCAGCGCAATGAGGCTAAGGTACAACTACAACCAAGTCTTTTTTGAGATCACTAAACTAGCAAGTGGGTATGTCCCACAGTTTCACTAATGAAAATGGTCATCATCACAGCAACTTGCCAGCGACTGTTTTCATTGTAAATTACTCATTGCAGGAATTAATTTTAAACGTGGTATGCTTTGGGAGCAGCGAGATTGCTGAGCCAAATATTTATGCCGTATGTCATCAAAACAACCCACATGTTATTTGCTGCTTTGATTTACGTATTTTGTAGCATTGCAGTATAACTGTAGTGGGAATTCAAATCAAATGACATATTATTTAAATATTTATACAATGTTGAGGACAATGAACAAAAAGCCGGCACAGCATTGTGCTCGGCAAGCCTAGCGTGTACAATTGAATGCTTGCAGTCAATGACTATGAGAAGAGACGGACATACGTATCATGCGTTCTTGCAACATGTTTCTAATGTAATTGCAATTTTTATGCGTTTTCGTGAAAGAAGTTGTGTGACGTTGCTGCATTGTTCCCACAATCTTTTGATGGCAACAGTCAGCACAGGGTGCCCCTCATATGCGCTTGCTCCAATCTAGTCTGTTGTGACTGTGATCACTGATATAGAAAAGGGTGTTTCCGTTGCCTATTTCATGTGACATTTAAAGAAAATGCAACATTTTCCCATTGCCTCCATGAATCATGTTGAAGCACGAGTAAGTACTTTGTGTTGTGGCAAACACGGCCCTGTCTTGCCTGGGTGCACTGGAAATAGTATGAATAAATTATGTGTGTGATATGACAGCTTACCGCGTTCCTGTGCACTTCAAAAAAGGCCCACGACAGCGCTGCGCTGCTGCTGTCCTCTGAGCAGCACGTTGCGCGGTGTGAGCACATGGCTCTCTCCTGGCTCCCCATCGTCATCCACAGCTGGTGGCATGTCCCCAACATACTCATCCAAGGTCCAGTCCCCCGCGTCCAATGCAATGT